ATATATATATATATATATATATATATGATTATAATGCATTCATTCACAGGTACATGAGATTTTGCTACAGTTGTCTGAGGTATCACACAAATGAGAACAGGGCTGTTTATTTCTTGGAAGCCTACTGATTTACAGGTAACGTTGCAAAGTAACAATTGCTCTACATATCTATCTACTTGTTTGAAGTGGTTGACCCAAACATTTTTCACTATGATACTGCAAACTGCTGACAAAATTACAGGCCTGAAAGATTTCTCCAGTGTGAAAGTTATTCCTTCCTGCCTGATTGAAATGAAGACCTTTTTTTTTCTCAGTGAAACTGAGAGAAAAGATAAAGGCAAAATGTGAAATTTTTTTTTATGCCCAGTTCTTCTGAAAAGAAGCAAAATCCAAGTTGAAATGGATCCAGATTTTTCAAATTCCTACTTGATATGATCAGAAAACTGTTTAGGTTTTATATCTTGCCCAACTATAAATTATTACCCATTATTATAAATCAATGTTGGACGGCAGATTCATTGTTCTGGAAAAAGAGTTATCAATTCTCTTATAGTGCCATCCTTTACTTCTTCCGCTATCTAATTGGAATACAAAACATGCTGGACTTAGTATGAATGAAGATACAAAAGTATCCTGAGCAATTCAGCATATTAATAGCAAGAATAACGGAATCGTTTGAGGTGCATTGTGGCTTGCATGGTTAGGATGCTGGCTTGACTAGCAGCAAAGTCACATTCGAGACTCAATTTCTGCCATGGAACGGGGCTGAGCTCCCATCCTTTGTTCCAACTCTTTCTGGGGACATGAAAGGAGCCCCCAACTGGGCACTCCCTGGGCAACGGCAAATGATGTCACCGGCAAATCCTTTCAACCAGGAAAGGATGGTGCTTCCAACACAAGCGCAAAACAAACAAACAAACAAACCCAGAACCATTACAAAGGCTGACTTCCTAGAGGAAAATACTCAAACCATCTTATCCCAAGGGCATATGCACTATCTGCTCTGCTAATAAACTCAACATGCAGGTAGTCCTCAGTTAATGACCATTTGAAATTACAATGGCACTAAATGAGGAGACCTGTAACTGGTCCTCAAAGTTGAGGCTGTTGCAGCATCCACACAATCACACAATCACATTTTGGGTGCTTGGCAATTGGCTATCAATTTTGAAAGTAGCAGTGTTATAAGACTTGAACTTTAGGGGTTAGAAAGCGGAATGAGATAAGTTTTTTAACCAATGAGGAAGCACAAAAAAATCTTCCTCCTTCCAAAAAACCTTCCCTCTCCTGCCCCGCCCCCCCAAAAGCTTCACATGTAATGGTTGACTGGATGCATATTTACATTTGAACCAAGTCACTATCATGAAAAAGAGTTCTAGCCTGTTCCTCAACACTGTTCTGCATACTGGTGTTGATAATGAATTTTCAGATGTTTCATTCCGGATCCACGGACACCTTTTAGACCAGGGTCTTTTTGACAGGTCTGTCCTGGACTAGTAATATTAAGTCCCTGAATCCCACTGTTTACCAGCCATGTAGATGTTGGAAGAAATCTTGCAGAAATTTGGCAGGGAGCTAACGCAAATGTCTTTTGCTAAGAAACAGCTGCAAGTCAGCCTACTTTTGGCTCTGGCCTGATTACACCTGGAAAATAAACCTTGACTGTTTTTAATTGTGTTAATGTACATCACATTAGGAAAAAAGATTTTTACCCCAGCAATGGTGCCAAACTGGTATGTAGGTAGTCTTAGCCTATGGAAATACCCTGTCTATGGAAATGATCAATGTTATTAAGATCTTTAGCAATCTGTAGAATAACAGCCCTGATTCAAAGCTGAATCCAAGTTAAATATCCCCATAGTCAGGGATGTCATCTTTCTTTTTCCTTCAGCTTTTTGGAAAACTAGATTTGCTAACAGGAAAGACAGTTTATGGAGTTTACTGCATTTCCTGCCCATGTTTTCTTGAAACCCTACTTTGTTGCATTACAGAGCTGATTGATAAAATTGTCACAGGGCAGAACAAAAAATAGCACAAAACCATCTTTACTGACAGATATTGATTGACAGTTGGAAACTCAAATATAATTCACGAAAGAATAATTCATAAATTTTTAAAAATGGACAGGGACAACTTTTTTTATTTCTTTTAAACCCATCTACCTGGCCTCCAATTCAGTCCTTACACTTCTTGAATGAAATGAATGAAATCTGGATTAGAATGAGTAGAACAGAAAAATATTGTTTTCATTTCTTTTGAACTGTTGGAAGGAGCGAACAGAAATTACAACTCCTGCACTTGTGCATTTATAGCCTTGAATGAAATTTGCTTTCCTTCAAGCTTGAATTAAATTAGCTTTTCTTGAAAATTTCTAGAAGTCTTCATTGACTGCATCGAAATAGTATTTTGAATATTATTTTATTTGGAATGAAGTGTTGGGGGGCAGGAATGGAGAAAATATATCATAGATGACATGGCAACAAT